TTTCACAGTATAGATTGCTTATACTTAGACATGCATGGCTTAATCTTTGAGACAAGCATATGACTACTGGCAGAATCAACCAGATACCTTGTTCCTCCCGGACGTAGCCCGGCGGCGCGGTGTTACCCGGCACCCCCGGCGCCCGAAAGCCCCCGAACGGGCAGAAAGCACGTAGGTATTCACTCTGGAAGGGGCGACGTAGGTCACCCGGCTGCAGTGGCGCCCCCGGCGTACCGGGAGGCCCCTAGCAACCATCCAATTGCCCTCACTGGTAGCCCATCAGGCACCCTCCGCACGCAGGGGACCGCTGACCGCCAGGGGCGGTGCAACAGGCTGCGGCATCGGGGCCTCTGGCGGGGAGACCAGGCCCAAGAGTCACGCCGGCGAACGGCGGCTACGCAAGGGTGGCGCTCCCCATGGATTGGGACGGATAGGAAGGTTGGCCAGCGGCCAGCAACCCACACCGAACCCTCACCGTGCCTGAGACACTGCACACGCAAGAATCCAGGACTTCAACACGCCGGGGGAGGACGGCCACGGGGGGTTTTACGCCCCCAGGCGCCCATTCCAGCGTGCTTGCCGGCTGCGAGCCTCGCTGAAGCCTAACCGCGGAGGTTGGAGACCATCAGCTCGGACAGGTAGCCTGCCAGGTATGGAAGGGGTGTAGGAGAGGCGATCCCAGCCGAAGCCGGGTTGCCCTCTCTACATAGATCCTGCGACCCCATCTGAGGTCCGATCCGGGACGCAAACGTTGGGCCGTGCAAAAGTCATTCCGGGGGCACGATTCTGTATGGACCAAAGGCGGTGGCAGAAAAAAGCCCATACAAACTGGGCCTGCAGATTCGCCCGTTCGGACGAACAAGGGGGACTTGGTCAAATCCACGTCGATTCCGGCCGCACCCACCGGCCACCGACCCGTCGAGGCTGGCTCGACCCCCAGGCCGCCGCTGGACCCCGTGGTCCGGCCAAGTCCCGCCGGCGCGCCAACTGGCTCCCCGCCGGGCACCACCCTCCAGGCCCCATGCCCCCTGCCCCGGGCGTCGAACCGGCCCCGGCGCGAGGCTACGCGGTCCCTGGCTCCGGGCACCCCCAGGCG